AGACAATGAAGATGAACCTATGGAATTTAATCCAATAGAAATGCAAATTAATAACGAACATGTATTTATAGACGGAGCAGAAAAAAGGGATGTTATTTCTTATTTATTATAAAACTATTTTTTACAAAATGTTACATAAATATTTTTTGTAATAAGATGTATAATTATTATATAAGTTTAAAAAATACGTAGGTTTTGTAGTATTCATTTCTTTTTCCTAAAATATTGTAATATAAATATAAATATTATTATTATATTGTATATATTGTAATATTGTGTGTGTATATATATATATATATATATATATATATATATATATATATATATTTTTTTAAAGAAAAAAAAATATAAAATGGAACAGATAGGATGTCAAAAAATTCAAAGCATTCAATACTAATCGTATTTAATACACTTCTTATATATAACTTTTAAATACATGTAACTTTAGGAACTTTAAGAGTAATAAATAATAAGCAGATATTTTTTTGAACGCAAAAATAATATGACAACAGTATATATATTTTTACTCCTCCTTTATATATTTATATAGTTAACACAACTTAATAAGAACATTAAAATAATAATAAATTAATTTTTTTATCAACCATAACGCGTTGCGGCCAAGTATTACAAACTATTTAAGTATGAATTCATACTTAAAAATATAAATGAAGAAAGAAATATGATTTGACTCGTGTAACAAAAACCAGTGAAACATTTAGACATAATAACAAAAAAATATATTATATTATGATAACAATATAATAAAACTTTTAATATCATATATCTTCTTATACTTTCAACTACATAACTGAAATATTTATATAATATAACTTTATGTATTTAAAGATTTTTCTAATAAGGATAAAAATCGCTCTCGCTGAGCATAATTGTTTTCATGATGTCGTTGTTTTTGTTCAATTAATTGTTCAACCCAAGATGGTATTTGGGATTTTCTTTTTCTACTTATTCGCTTCTGTGCTAAGTTAGTTGATCCGAAATGTAATAAATTTTCTGCGTTTTCTTCATTATAGTTATTACAATTTGTCTCTATATTTATACTGTCAGATGTATTTAAAGTATTATTCAGTTGAAAACCTCGTGAACTTGATGCTAGAGATAACGGTGCAATTTCTGGTTTTTTAATTAACATGTCGTTAATAATATTATAATATTCCCATGTTTCTTTTGCTGCGCCTGTTTTATTATTTGCATCTTTTATATTTTTATATTTGTTTTTCATTCCAATCCATTTCACGTGACAATTTTCCGCCGACAAATTGTAACCATGAGTATTCATGGATGCAGCAATGTTTTTCCACACTTGCTTATTTACTGGACTCGTAAAAGATTCTACATGCTTATTTATTTCAGTTAACAGCAATTTCACCATCGCATCAGTCCACTGAGTTCTGTAATTTACTAAATAATATAATACAATAATTATTTACTGCTTGAGAGAATTTTGAATAATATTTATATATAATTATGTTAATTAAGGAATTATTATTATATACATACCAGCATCATGCACTTCATTTAATGATTGAGCCATTCTGTAGCACTATAGACCAAGCCAAATCTGTGGAACTTTAATAAATGTGTTGTAGATTAGAATAATTGAATTTCTTATTTCGGATATTCCACAAATACATGATATTTTCTCATAACTTTTTATAACTTCAATTTAATATTTATAATTTTCCTAAAATTTAATAATTAATTGATTTTTAATGTAATTGTTTCACATTTTACACAATTTTATTACCTGATAATGTTGACTCGTTCGAACGCTATTTACTAGGTTAACTAACTCTACTCGCCTTACCGGACAGCATTGAGTTGTCATAAATCATGAAGGTATTAGGTGGTCGTGCCTATCATATTTTTCGGTTCTGGTGGAACTAACTCATACTCGATTTACCGTAAACACCCTGAGAGTTTGGAAAACAGATTTACCGACTCTAGGATAGCCTCTCTGTGCAGGCTTTTAATACTAGATTTGAGGCTTTCACGGCCATTGATACAATGTCTAGGTATAGCTTCCGGAATGGAGCCGTGTCTTGAATCAGCGATATGCCGACGTTTTGTAAACGTTGCAGTTTGCATCATCAGGGCTGAGAACTCTGATACTGAGCTCCCTTGGGTAAAGGTAGTCCTTATATGCCCCCCTCCCCCCCTTTGTGTAGATGGTGTTTAGGGAGTAGGGGACAAGGCTTGAATCCAGCCAATCAGCGTATTTTAATTGACCAGCTGATCAAATGATTTTAGAATTGGGCGCACCAATGTCGGCCACCAATTTCCGACCCTCAGCGCGACGCTGGCTATAACGTAACGTCGACGTCGGTGCAATGTCCAAATGAATAAGGGCCCAACGCTAACGTCAATGTCGATCCAACACTGACCACTGACATTGGCCCAATGTTGGCATGCCAATATTTTGCCAATGTTATTATTTTGTTTTTTAAATACAAATATTTTAATTTTAATATATATATATATATATA